TTAACAGAACAGCAGAAGTGAGTGGTAATGTTACATTATAATGGACATTGTCTTTGTGTTAACATTTTCTCCTTTGCAGTGCTACTATATCATGTACTAATACTGAACTACAAGGACAACAAGCAATGTGTAGTACTGGTAAAACAAAATACTCGTTAACTCCATTAAACATTACATACTCACCCGGTGTGGAGCAACTGGATCATGAAGAGAAGCAAGTGAGGATTCCTGGGGACTGATGAGGCGGCTAGTAATGATTCATATTACTAATAGCTATGAATGCCTTTCATGCTATGTGCGTTGATAAATGCCATTCATGCTATGTGTGTTGATAAATGCCAGTAAGTTCTATTCACTGCTAAATTCCATTCATAAGTTCACTGCCTTTTATAGCAAAAGTTCAATGTTATATACGCCTATGCTAGCAATTATTCACATCTCTCTCTTCTCCACCTTTAATGTCCAGAGGATGTGTGTCTTCTAAACTTAAAGCAATTACACACGATCACTATGGTGATGTAATAATGTTATGAATCAAGAGTGGCCTCTTATATTATTATTGAAACATGCACCGATACCTCTTCCCTTTATATTTTTATATAGATATGTTCAGTCCATCGTATATTACCTGATGTATATTTACACTGTAAAGGAGTAATGATTGCTGAGAGTAGGAAATGTGGAGGAAAGCTACGTCTGATGGATGCTAGGAAGTTGTGTCGTATTGATGTAAATAAAACTAGAAAGATATATAATCATCTTGTGTCTAAAAAACTTGTACAACCACCATCTTAACTTATTATTAATGCATGCTGGTATGTCTTCTATTTACAAAATATTCATTCCTGCTGAATATTTTATAGTGATGTCATACGCAGGCGAAAATCCGCCTGACTAGGCAAAAATGGTCCAGCTTGGTTACATTTTTGCTGTAACAGTTAATTTGTATCAAATTGATAACTATCAAAACATTTACTCCTTTGATGGAATCATGGAATTCAACCAAATATGATGAACTGTTTATCCCGGATATGTCGGGCATGCGGCGTTGACGTTGAGGGTGGAGTCTGGTCTCCACTATCTTTATAAGTATGAGCATAGATATACTACACAGACCTGTGTAGATACACTACACAGGTCTGTGTATTAAATCTATGGTATGAGCATCCATGGTGCCTATCAGCATGTAACATTATTCATTCAATCAATGATTGATATTGAGAGCCCCATGATTCATTCCCACGTGCGCAGGGCTAACACATTTCGCCATCTTTGTCATCATAAACGGGAGAGTGGCTTCCTGTGACCACTCACATAGATATTAGAGTAAATGAAAAATTCTAAATGAAAAATTATTAGAGTAAATGAGCATAGATATTAGAGTAAATGAAAGGGATTGGAAACTTCCGTTCGCGGCAGGAAATGCTAGTTACCCATACCATGATAATTTCTCTATTTATAGGAATTTTTTCAATTTTACAATAGGATTTATTAAGAAAATTATCAAACATTATGGAATAGTACAACTTCATAATGGTTTTTCTCAAATTGTGTTTATGTCACATACATTAAAGTATGTGCGTGCCCTCAAGTGTACATCAAGCTTTGCTTTCATATCACATTTAAATGTGCCAATCATTGAACTGTAAAGAAAAAGGTACAAAACGAAGGTCTTTGCAATAACTTTGAATTGATTATAAATCAGTCACCAAATCTGTCATCGGAGTCATTTATGTTGCGTGCCCTCCATAATAATGTATAGAATAGTTGGTAATAGTTAATTCTGGTATTACTTCTTTTGTATTCTAAAAAAGGGTACAAAACCGCAATATTGAAGGTATCAGGTCACTAAATCAAACTTTACCCATAGTTATCAATATTATTTTACTTCAAAAATTAGACAGACTGTAAGGGAGGTATCTGTAATGCCTTTAATTATCATTGCAGAGGACGAACACAAGTCACTTTAGAGTTATGAGTTGAAATAGGACGCCGAACAGTGAAGGAAAAGGCCCGGGAAGGGTAACTTGCCTATGTTGCTAGGCAACCTAATAATCTTAATGAAATAATCCGCCTACGCAACGGAAGTTTCCCATCCCTTTCATTTACTCTATTATCTATGAAATGAGTAAATTCTTCTCGACACGCCCCTTTGCTAGGGGCGTGGCGAGACTAGCTCTGGTCCGAAGTATATCTTTATCAGCATGCTATCAGTTAGAAATGATCTTTTTACTGCTGCTTATAATGTTGCTAAGAAGAATAAGAGCTTTAATGGAGCAAGTGGCTGCTCCCCCTCGAGCTCCAGTGCAAGAAACCGTTAGAGGAGCAGCAACCTCACCCGCCGTTATTGTTGCTGGTGATATTCTCTGGTACAAGAGGGACCCACCACCAGATGCTCACTGTCAGTTCTTAGTGCAATCTGAGCAGGAGACAAGCTACTGTTACAGAAAATGTGAAATGGTTAGTGCAAGTCAACAGTTGTAATGTCATAATATCTACGGTCATGTGCACGCCTTTGAAGCCTAGCTGAATGCTTGGGGAAACAGCACTTAGCCTAAAGTTTTATTTTATGGCAGTCTATTTTCACGCATAGGTTGGATCTCAGCACAGCAAAGTACCCAAAAACTGTGTTGTCTAGCTGTTTGATCACTGGAAACTGAAGCCACCAACCGCTCTTACATTACTTCACTGCACAATTAATACATGCATGCACATGCAACAAACAATTGCACTCAATACAAGTGAATTCTAGTTCTTTATTTGTGCTTTAATTGTTGTTGTAATTTTTTGTATTATGTATTGTGTCTATTTTTGTTTCCAATAATGCTGATCATTTCTCCAAAGAGACTCCAGTTCAGTACTATAGTTAGGATATCTTGCTAGAAATTATTCCTAATTAATTCAAATGAACTATCAAACTCATTAAGAACAACAGAACCATCTAAAGAAAGAAAGGATATAAAAATCAGTGAGAAGATTAGGCAAAAGAGAGACATTTTCATGGCATACCCTATGCAAATAAACCAACCCAATGGTCAGGCAGGTTAATTAATGATAGACCTTATTTTTACAAGGTAGGACTGAGGACATCCCTTATTCCACATCTCCTGCTTACCAGTATCAATTGAAGTGTGTGGCTGTACAAATAACCTTCTAGGCATCTTCCTAGCCATTACAATATCTCTTAACATCAAATGATCATCAGTAACAGTTGAGTATTTATTATACAATAACTGTCCTGAGCTAACGTCTGCTGTAGACTTGTAGATCTAGAAAAAGGAACATCTTTATCATAATAGCAATTGGTGTTGAGTGATAACAATGGCTCAACGATTTAATGAACATGTGCATAGGGGAATAGGGAATAAAATGAGTCAATAGAAACCATAAGCAACTAGCTCATAAGTGTACATGTATACACATGTAATTCTAAATTGTTTATTGTTTCTTTCAATCACAACTTACCTGCAGTTTATTTAAGAATTCTCCAATGACAGGT